ATTGGGAGAAATTTTGGAGCTGTGCAGTGAACCGGTTACTCCCCACAACTGCTCTTGGATGCAGCCCTTGCCGCAGCTGGCGGTCCAGTTTGAAGGAGCCCCCGGAGTGGGTCCTCCTGCTTTCGCCTTCGGTCCTGGTGAGCGCCGGCAGCTTGCAGTGTGGGGAGCCGCTGGGCTCTGGGCTTCCGTCAGCCCTGCACGACGGAGTCAGGGTTGAATCGAGGAAGTGCAGAGTTATTAGCAACGAAAGCCCCCGATTCCTGGCCGGCATTCCGTCGCCACCATGCCAGCCCTTCTTAAAGTCTCCTTTCCAGAAAAACGTGATTATCAACAAAAAAGGAAAGGTTTTACAACCTCTCTTGATACTTAATACTGTATTGATTGTTTTCCTGTTTAATAACCATTTAAACTTGTCTTCTGTCAATTAGGAGTCTTCAGACTGGGGAGCCCTCGTTTAATTAAACCTGATGTGATGTTTTGGCAATCCAAATACGTTAAAATCACGTTATCTTAAAGTGGTAAGCTCTTTACTGAAAAAGAATGAGCAGGGCATTATCCTGCCAATATTTTTGTAGCTCAGCTTGAAAAGAAACAGTGCCTTCTTAATATTTCTTAATATCTAATATGGCCCACACTTCTTAAATAACCTAAAACTTATTAACTATAATGCCATTTACTGCAAATGATACAGATACTGTTTTTATAGCAGTCTTCTGATCTTGATACAGAATAAGCCTCTGCATTTCTAAAGTAAACTCACTGTTGAGGAAATTAACAGTTCCTAGTTTTGCAGAGTGAATACTCTTTTTTTTTAAACAACATTTATCTTAGAACAAATGTCTTCATAAAAGCACTTTTAAATGTAAATGCCTCACTTGTCCTATCTTCTGATTTTAACATCATTAAGTGTGTCGTTACTTGTCTCATGTCTTGTAGTATTAATTTCAAATATCATATACTTTGTAAGTATACCTAGATACTAGAAAATTTAATAGAGTGTCTCTGTTACTTTAGATAAAAAGGCCAGAGGATCTAAGGAGTAATTATACCTGATCGATGAAAAGAGTAACAAAGAAGCATGGTCTCTCAAAGACCATCCTGAAAAATTATGTTAGGGGAACTCATGTATAATCTCATTTCCTCCTCAAATATTAAGATTATTTTGATTATATGAGTCTTGCTCGTTTCCGTAGCACATATACTAAAATTGGAACAGTAGAGAAGATCAACATTAAAAAAGGTAGTATTATCTGTTGAAATCAAATAAGTACTTTTTTTTTATAAGTTTTGCTGTAGTGTCCTTGTGTTCACCAGAGAGAGAAAGAGAATGTGAGAAATAACCCCCTAGGGGGGGATAGGCATTCCACAATCCCTTCTCCAGTCCTCTTGGGATTTTGGGCACACGCACTCAGTGTGTTTTTCAAGCCACGAGGTCCAGAACTTGAACCACAGAGTTGGCCATGTGGGATCCAGTGCCCCAACCTCCACACCTGCTGGCTCAAGAATGTACTATCTCCAGGACCAGCAGGTGGCATGGTGGTTGAGGTGCTGGACACTCCTACATGGCTGACCATGGTTCAAGTCCTGGACCTGGTAGCTTGCTTTTTCACTTTCCCTCTCTTTCTCTATCTTTCTCTCCCTGGTCAAATTAAAATAAAAGAATGAATAAATAAAATAAAATAAATCTTAAAAAAAAAAAAAAAGAATGTACTATCTTTTTTTTTGGAGAGGTTTTTGCTATAGGGCACGTGTGCTCGCCGGAAAGAGACAGAGAGATAGAAAGTGAGAAATCACCCACAATGGGGATGACCACACTGCAATCCCTTCTGCATTCTCCTCTTGGGATCTTGGACACACATGCACACATGCCCAGCATGAGTTTAAGCCACCGGGTCCAGGACTCGAATCACAGTTGACTACATGGGAGTTCAGCGACATAGCCATTACACTAACTACTGGTCCCAAGAATGTACTATCTTTAAAATTATCAGTTGGGTTGGAGACTTGAGTTGGTGAAGGAGTTATTAATATAACAAGAAGGAAAGTACTTCCTTTTCTCCTCTTTCCACAACTCCCAGCCACCTTATTCTCTCCGCACTCTGAAATGAATGTTCTCAATTAACTGAAATGACCAGATTCTGTTTGTTTTTCCTTCTTTGTGCTAAGGCCTGAAAATTCCAACCAATGAGCTAAGAGTTAACCTTGTTTATTTCATTTCCCTTTGGGATTCCTCTTCTGCACTGCTCATCGTCCAACATCTTAAAATCATTATTTCACGTGCCTTTTCAATTTTTTAAGATGCTTAAGGCATGAAGATAAATCTGACCAGAAGTTAAACACTGCATGGCCGACTGCCATTTGAATTCCAGTCCATTGGCTTGAAAAACATGCCAAGTGTGTGTGCCTGGACATCCCAAAGTCTTTTTTTTTTTTTTGAGAGGTTTTTGCTATAGGGCGCATGCGCTCGCCAGACAGACAGAGAGACAGAGAGACAGAAAGCAAGAAATCACCCCCCAGTGGGGATGGTCATGCCGCAATCCTTTCTCCTCCCTTCTCCTCTCAGGATCTTGGGCATGCACGCACATGCGCCTGGCTTGAGTTTTAAGCCACCGGGTTCAGGATGCGAACTGCGGTCGACTACGTGGGAGTCCAGCGACATAGCCATTACGCTAACTACTGGTTCCCCCAAAGTCTTGATAGGTTGGAGAAATAGACAAAGGAAGTGTATCCTATAAGTCTCTTGTACGTCTTTTTGTTTATGACTTTTCTCATTGAATAAAAATTTTTTATTAAGAGTAATCAGATTCATCTCTTGCCTCCTAATAATTTAAGCTTTTTAAGTCTTGTTCAAGAAATGCAATAGAAGGAAACATATGACAAATACAGCATCATATGTTTCCTTCTATTGCACTTAGAGTTCTACCATTCACATTCAGGTTTTCAATGTATTTGTGTTACATAAGCACATGATATAAGCCAAGAATCTTGCTTTACTTTTGACCACATAGTGAGCCAGTGTTCACAACACTGTCATAAACTCAATCCACTCTATCTCCTTTGCCTTACAGGCCATCTGTATCATATGTGAAGTTCTTGAACATACGTTGGTTCAAGTTGCAGCTCTGTCACATTTGATTGGTTATTTATTTGTTCCCATACCTATACAAGAATGTTTATGTTGAGCCAGCAGGTGGCATGGTGGTTAACATACTAGATAGCACATGGCCAGCTGGGAGGGTTGCAGCTTGAAAAACATAACCAGGGATCAGCAGTTAGTATAATGGCTATGTCACTGGACTCCCACATAGTTGACCGCGGTTCGCATCCCGGACCCGGTGGCTTAAAACTCATGCCGGGCGTGTGTGCATGCATGCCCAAGATCCCAAGAGGAGAATGGAGGAGAAGGGATTGCGGCATGGCCATCCCCCCGGGGGAGTGATTTCTCGCTTTCTATCTCTCTGTCTCTCTCTGTCTAGTGAGTGCATGCATCCTTTAGCAAAAACCTCTCTCAAAAAAAGAAAAAGCTATTGGTTTTGAAGAAGGCACCCTCTATCAAGGCAGCAACGTGCATAGAGAGACAGTTATCTTTAAATAAGAAGGCTACTGCTCGGGAGGGAGGTGTTCCAATTGAAGAAGTTGGCCTTGTATGAGAGCATCACTGATGTTGAAGAGTCTTTTTAAAGGATCCACTGGCCTTGCTGGAGTATCCCAATACTGAGAGAGAGACCCTCTTCAGTGAGCCATTGGGCTTGTGAGAGAACTCTGTAGTTGAAGAGAAGGTCATCCTGAAGGAATCCTCGGCCTTGCAGGAGAAGCCCAGCTTTGACAAGGAAACTCTCTTCCACAAGCCCTTGGCACTGCAGGAGAAGCCCATGGTTGAGGAGGCTACCCAGAAGGAACCCTTGGCCTTGCAGGAAAAACCCAGCATTGAGAAGGAAACCATCTTCAACAAGCTCTTGGCCTTGCAAGTTGAAGAGGACATGCTGAAAGAATCCTTGGCCTTGCAGGAAAAGCCCAACATTAAGAAAGAGACCTTCTTGGTGAGTTCCAACAGCTCAGGCTGTGGGAGAAGTGGTAGGGTTTATCCACTCGACTCCACAAAGGCTCTAGGCACACTGCGGCCCCATCAGGCACTCAGCACGCACCCTATCCACAGCCAAGACGCCCAAGAGGAAGGTCAGTTCAGCCAAGGGGGCAGCCAAGGAAGAACCCAAAAGGAGATTGGCAAGGTTATCAGCTAAACCTGCTTCTGCAAAAGTGGAGATGAAGCCAAAAAAGGCAGCAAGGAAGGATAAATCTTCAGACAAGAGAGTACAAACAAAAGGGAAAAGGGGAACAGAGGGGAAACAGGCTGAAGTGGCCAACCGAGACACTAAAGAGATTTACCTGCAGAAAATGGAGAAACTAAAAATGAGGAGAGCCCACCCTCTGATGAAGCAGGCAAGAAAGAAGTCAAGTCTGAGTAATACCATATACCATGTCTTATCAATGGTCCCTGTCTCCCTTGTACAATTCAGGGGAATATTTTTATCAACTATTTTGTAAATGCAAGTTTTTTTAGTAGCTCTAAAAACATTTTTAAGGAGGATAGAATCCCACCTCATTCCCACCTCATTTTTTAAGTGTAAATGCTTTTTTTTTTTTTAAAGAGGTGAAATCATTTACTGGTCATTTATTTTTTCCTGCAACTGGAAAATAGTGGGATATTGACTTATAGGAGGCTTTGACTCTCTTGCATGTCTGCTTAAAATTTCATAGGTGGGGACAGGTGGGTAGTTTTTATATTCTAAATACAAACCATGCTAAATGGCAGTTTGGAGTCACAGTCATGCACTTAATGTGTCTTGAATATTTTTAATTACTTCTACTATGTTTTTTTAGTAGTATTGTTCCCTAAAGAAAACCACTCTGAGTGTTGCTCTCCCTGTCAGAATTGTGTACACTCTGTAACATCTTTGGTCGTGGTAGTCCAGTTTTCCTAATAATTTTATCAATGTACTATGAAAGATTGGAAATTTGAAGTATGTAGTGTGTATAATACTAAATTGTGATTTGGTGGGACTTACATAACAGCTTTCAACATTTGAAGACAGTGGTTCTTGATATCCTCTTAAGGAAATTTCATCTACAAATTTGAAGCTGGAATGTCACTGGAATAACTTAAAAAGAATCACTATACTTGGCTTTTTAAATTTTTGGTACGTATGTTAAGAATTGGGTACAGGGACCAGCAGTTAGCGTAATGGCTATGTCACTCGACTCCCATGTAGTCGACCATGGTTCGAGTCCCAGACCCAGAGGCTTAAATTCACACCGGGCATGTGTGCGTGCGTGACCAAGATCCTGAGAGGAGATGGAGGAGAAGGGATTGTGGCGTGGCCATCCCCCCTGGGGGGGGGGTGTGATTTCTCACTTTCTGTCTCTCTGTCTCTCTCTGTCTGTCTGGTGACCACATGCACCCTATAGCAAAAACCTCTCCAAAGAAAAAAGAAAAAAAGAATTGGGTACAAATTGAAATGTCTGTACTGATCCTTGACAACCAATAAATCTCAATTACAAAAAAAAAAAAGAAGGAGACCTTCTTCAAGGAATACTTGGCCTTGCAGGAGAAGCCTAACATTTAGAAGGAGGCCATCTTCAAAGAACAGTTGGCCTTGCAAAGGAAGCCCAGCATTGAGGAGGAAATCCGCTTCAACAAACCCTTGACCTTCCAAGGGAGGTCCATATTTGAGGAGGCCATCCTGAAGGAATCCTTGACCTTGCAGAAAAAAAGCCCAACATTGAGAAGGAAACTTTTTTTAAGGAAAACTTAGCCTTGCAGGAGAGGCCCAGGAGTGAGAAGAAAACCCTCTTCAACAAGCCCTTGGCCTTGCAAGAGAGGTCCATAGTTGAGCAGGCCACACTGGAGGAACCCTTGGCCTTGGAGGAAAAGTCCAACATTGAGAAGGAACCGTTTTTCAAGGAACACTTAGCCTTACAGGAGAAGTCTAGCATTGAAAAGCAAATACTTTTTAGTAAGCCCTTGGCCTTTCAAGAGAAGTCCATAGTTGAGAACAGCCCTTCTTCAAGAGACAGACAGCTCCATGGCTCCTGTGATCTAGCCATTTGGGGAGAAAGGAAGATGTCCCACTGATAACTGGGCCTCCAGCATCCAAAACTCGTGTGATTGAACTTCCAAGTTTGAGAAGAAACTGATCATCCACCAGATGACTAGAAATCGCTGCAGGACCACAAGAAATATGGGGAAGCAGGAAAATACCTCTCCCACAAGGGAAA